CGGACACTGAAAACCAAACAGACAGGATCATGACAATTCCTTAAGTTTAGAGTTTTGTTGCTCGCCACTACTTGCGGCAATGCTGCCCTTTGTCACCCGATCGCCGACACCTGACTATTTGAATATTTGCTAAACGTGCATGTGGGACATTTAAACAATACACAGTTCAAAAAATGGGAAAATACTTTTTTAAATCCTATTTTCTCTGGATTCACATTTACAACTCCGAAGGGCACACCGAAGCTTAAAGTGAAACCTGAACAGCCGATCCATTTATGCGTGCCTGCAGCCACACCCAACTTGACCTTGAAGTTTAACCGGCTTTGTACGCAGCATATTACAGCGTGTCCCCCAACGTGAGCGCAACCTACCCTCCATGTATCCTTGTTCACATGTCCTCTAACACACACAAGGGAGCTCTTCAAAATACTGCACCTGCTAAGGCATGATAAGATGAGAGGCGCTGCATCGGTGAATTGAAGATCAGTACATCACAAGTGAGCGATGGGCTGGCACCACTAAAAACACGACATTTCTCCCTCCCTGTGCTCACCTTCTTCTTTCTTTCGTGTTACAGTGGAACCTCCAAAGTTTAATGCCCTAAAGTTTTGGAAATATGGAGTTGAGGAACATTTTCCAGAGAAAAATAAAGTGTCTGAATATGTCTTCGAGTACTGAGTACTACAGTCTAACCAAATAACGAAACACAGACACACTGCATTTAGAAAAGGTCAATCTACCCGCTCACGGACATCACCGCCGACAAGTTCAAAAGTAAATACAATCACTGAGCACTTTGTGCGTGGTAGATTTCAATGAGATGAATGGAAAAAAGTACTGGATAAAGTTTAAAATCAAACAATACACAGCTGTAATGAAGAACTGTATTCATCGCTCATCAAGTATTTTCTTTTGCTGCCTTTTCCATATAAGACGGCTTTTAACGATAGCGCTGTTATTCTGAAATGCCATCAATCCGTTTGCTTCCAATGATCAGCTCATGGGGCAGCATCTTTAGCAGGGAAGTCCAGACACCCCCCCCCCCCCCGGCTCCCCCAGCCACTTCATAATCGCAAGGCGTTCCCGGGCCATCCAGGAGACATAGGGACATAGTCCCAAGCATGTCACGGCTCATCCCTGGGGCCTCCACTCAGTGGGACGTCGTACCTGTACCGAGCCACCTCATCTGGCGCCTCTACTTTGAGCGCCTCCTGGATGACCAATCCGCTTATGCAAGTCCCCCCCCCCCGAAGAAAAGAACAAGAACAAGAAAATAACAACTTCCATTTCTCTTGTGTCTAAATACCCTGCTGGTGATTATCGGTGGCGGAGGTGCAATGCAGGGGTCCTCATCCACCAACACAGTCCATGAAGACTGCAACAGAAGGGGGAAGAAAAAAAACAGAGCAGCACGGCAGCAAAACAGGATTGTCTCAGGTTAATTATGCAGAAGTAATGAAGAAATTATTTTTCTGAAAATCGCCCTCTGATTTTACTCCTGCATTGTGATGGAAACAAATGACGAAATATCCCTTTTCATCTCGACTGCCGCAAGCCTCGGGCTCGGTTGCTGCAGTCGTGGGGGTTTGGAAATGTATGGCTTCAATGCCAAGCTCCTCCTGGGGAGTCCAAACCTTGAGCATGTCAAACTGCTTCTGATTTCAGAGCACGCCTTTGTGGACAGGTGAATAAAGACATCTCGGCAATACTGAAAGACAAGCTGAAAAGATTTCCGATCTGTATCCTCCACTCAGTGGAAGGATGATTCCATGTCCTCGTTTCCGCCGATGTTTTAACTTGTCCTTAGCTCATTCGGCGTGTAGGGTTGTTTTTGTTTCTTTCTTTTCAGATTTCTCTGTATGACAATATTATTCACTGAGACTTATATTACTGTAGAGACGTATGATGCAGTGGAAAACAATTCAGGGGGGGGGGTTGCAATTCTTGTTTGTAGCCTCATCCAAGCTGAACCCAAATGTGTTTATTGACAGCTTGATTATTTCACCACTTTACTACTTTTGGATGATGCCTCAAGACGTTCGGGGCCCAAATGTGAATTTCTCTCGAAATCGTCACTCGACATTTCCTATTTACGCAACTCTCTGTACGTTGATAGAATGCTTTCATATTCATACAAGCAACTCGTTGATGCGTCTGAATATTTCATGGCGTGTATTTGTAATGCGTCCCATTCTATTGCCAAATTAATTTGTTGTACGCAGGGCTCGGTAAATATTTCTCCACCCACAGCCGTTGTCTTTGTTTAAGTGTTGGCCAAAAAGGCAAAGAAAAGCATGCGCAGTCACGCTCACAAGAGGGTACGTCACCCTATAAAACAAGTAAGTTGCTAATGACTTTTTCAGGAACTAATTTTCTGCTTTGTGGCACATCCCATAAAACCGCCTTCTTCTTCTGCTGCAACAGGGGATGGATGGAGATTTAACTGTCTTTTCTCTTTATAGTCTCACAGTGGCCTTTGCATATGCTACCGACTAAAGGCGGTCTATGTTGAATTTGTCACCTCTTTTTTTTTTTTTTCCTATTCAACCAGGATTACTTTGCTGATGTATGGTGTACGTATATAAATCTCGAATAGCGAATGCCCTTGAGGTTAAACATAAATGCTTATTCTAATCCAACAAAGCACTTCACCTCCCTGCTCTTGTGTATGTTGCGTGTTGCCTGCCGTCTTGTTATTTTGCCCAAACTCAGCACAGCAGCGGTGGAACATAAAAGTGACAGCAATGCTGAAATGAGCTTTAAAGTGCTGAACCATGGTTCTTACACTTGCTTGCGCTCCCATAATTTGGATCCAAACCCCAGGAGTTGGCAACACGATGACAGGTGCACGAGATGATTTGAAATCATGTAACCTTACAAAGGGGGCGGGGTTAAAAGCAGGGTGTCACAACCGTGTGTCCGTTTTTGTACACAAGGTTATTAGACGGGCATAGCTTAAAGCAGGCTTTTGGAGCATAAAACAGCACGCGAGGAAAAGTTTTTATAAGGCTGTATGGAGCCTTTCTTTCAAACGACGCTTGCTGATGAATGGCTGCAGAAGCATGACTTAATTATGACCGTACAGGAAATACAGTCCATCCCTTGTAATGATCCACGCAGCCATCGATAAAAAGGCTTGATAAACGCAGACTTCCTGAGCCAGGATGGATAAATACGGCCTGAGTAATGAGACCCGGCTTGCCTGAGATGATGTCTCTGCTCTATATCATATGCTGCTCTGCGCTCGTGGGGTTGGGCTGCATGGAGAGGCTGAGGGACAGACTTTAAATCCCGAATACGCGCCAGTCCCTTTGCCACTGATTTTTGGGGACGCAATAGTGGCGTTCTCTTGCCAAAAGAAAGTGAGATAGCACAGAGTCCATCGTGTGAAATGACATTTTCCGTGATTCGGTTTTATCTGCGTTCTCACGATGTGAGAAGGCAATTGGGCTGGGCACGCCGTCCACTGGGATGCCGTTCATATCGGTCTGAAGCATACATCGCGTCACGTAATATATTCTTTCTCTTTGGATTAGTGCTCTGCAACGCATGCAGCAATTGATTTTTCTATTACTTGGTGCGCTTCATTTCTCGAGCTCTAACTAAGCAAGCTCAATCAATGGCCCATTTAAAACAATTCCATTCATTAAAAAAAAAAAAAAAAGTCCCCTTTTTGAAGTCCACAAGTCTCCTACAGAAATCTTGCAGGCATGAGGAAAGCTGACATTAGCAGACCCAAGATCTAAGTGAACACTCACCTCAGACTGTCACATAAGAGACAGGCTGACGTGTGTCCCATGGGATGCATGCGACATACTGTCATGACAGAAGGACCGTGTAAGGAGATGATGGGGAGCAAAGGTCCAGAATCATATTTAAACATGTAATACACCGAAGAATATGTCTTTTGGTTCCGTCAGGATTCAGTTTGTTTTCCTCCTGTTATTTATTGTAAAGCATGCGTTCAATTAATGGAAAAAATGGAACTTGTGAGGGGGCTGCTCGTCATGTCTGCTGTAGGTTAGAGGAAATGTTTTGCAAAACTGCCACCAAAATGAATCCATTCAGCGAGAAACATGAAATATAAACACTTTGGCATGATCCGGGCCCCGAGCCTTGACTTTGACGTCTGTGACGCATCAAAAAGGTGCAAGCTGCTCTGTTTGTGTCATGTTTTGGTTTGTGACCAATAGGTGGCACTGTAGCGCTTTCCCTGCAGCTGCACACCTGTTGGTCGTTATGTTGTTAGCTGTTTAAAAGGACAACAAACATTGTTTGTTTGTCCTGTCATGTTTGTTTCCGTCATGTTTCGGTCACTGTTAGGTTTTAGCTTCAGTCATGATTTTTGTTTGATACTTTGGATTCGTTTTGTTTTCAGGACTTTGTTTTGGATTTATTTTTCTCTGCTTATCAATACAATTTTTCAAGTACAACCTGCGCCCCCCTCCTGCCTGCTTTTTGGGGTCCACCACCACCACCACCACGCAATGTGACAGTTTGTTTAAAAAAAAAAAAAGGCTCGCACTCAAGATAAAAAATACACAATTGAATGACTATGTTTCAATGCATAGTTCAAAAGACAGTCACTCTTTCTGAAAGTAGCATGACGTCGACTATGTGTTGCAATATTTGGAGACCTCAACAGCATGACATTCTGTACGCGCACCGTTTCAGAACAATGCTCAGTGTATTTGCTATTTGGAGACCTCAACAGCATGACATTCTGTACGCACACCCTGTTTCAGAACAATGCTCAGTGGATTTGGTTCACCTGTTAAAAGGAACCCAGAAAGCAGGAGAGAACAGTGCCTACACCCGGTAACTAGGTTTGGACCTCACCGTTTACCCTTCATATCAACGGCAGCGACAATTGTCAGGCAGCCCAAAAGTGGTCCATGAGCAACTCGCATCCCAGGATCAGCAGGGGGAGGGGAGTACGGGGGGTTGGAGGGTGAGAAAGAGGGGAGGGAGTCTGTTCCGCTTGGGTGACCGGCACATTGAGAGGCTGGTCCGGGGTGACTCAAGAGACAGGGCTCTCTCTCTTTTTCTCCGAGCCCACCGGCCGCCATCGCGCGCCCCGCTCCTGCCCGCTAGGAAGGGAGGTCGCGCCCCCCCGGCGCATTCAGGACAAGCGACACACTTCACTTTCCCCGGCTGTGAGGACGCTCGTAGAAACGGACGGAGAGGGGAGGCTGTGAGATGGAGACGCGCAGCGGTGCCGTCACACAGAGCCGCACCGCCCGTCAAACGTAGCGCACACGCAGAAGGAAGACGATCGGCGCACAGCGAAGTCACGCGGATCTTTGTGGCACGCGGCGGCGATGTCCGAGACGGATTAAGTCGAGGCTGCGCCAAATTGGCACCAAGCAGGTGGGTGAGACATTTTTCTCTCCGTTTTGGTCATCGTAGTCGTGTGTCGTCATCCGCTTGATTCGCATATGTTGTCATTCGAGGGAAAACAATGCGACCCAAAAGAGAGAGAACTCTTACAGACACGATTGCCTTGTCTGAATTCCACTTGCTGCTGATCTGATACATGCCCGTCCACTTTATTCAGAAACTGTCATGATGAAAGTTAAGGGAGGCGGGAGGGGAAAAGTAATCTGCCTCTAGTGCAGATGTTTAGTAATCCCTGCCAGTGGACCCTCCCTATTATAATCCCCGCAGTTTTTCAGATCCCGTTCCCGCCGATGTTGACCACCTATACTGCAACCGGTAGTTAGGATAGGGTGGGATTAAACAGGAGTGAATTGGAGCTCAGATATCAATCCTGTGCGGTGTGAGTTCACAGATGCCATCTATGCATCCCTGAAAAGCCGAGTGTTGACACACCCTCATTTAGTTTACACGGTTTGGGGTAGAACGCGCAATTTACGGGGGTGTGGTTCGGAACAGTATACACCGATTTAGGAACCGTGGCTCTTGACTCTTACAACTTGTAAAAACAGGCAACACCTTTTTGGACCCAGAAAAGCAGTTCCGCTGAAGTCGGTTTAAAATGCTCACTGAAAAATATGCTTTGGAAATGATGTTTTGAATGAGCCTGCACAGTAAAAGGAAATGTGTCTGCGATGCTTACCCTGTCTGGCCATGTGGCACACACCAGTAATTTGGGATAATGAGCCTACATTGTTTATTTGAAATAATCATGGCTGACAGACAAACCGCAGGAACGGCGCAATCTGTTGCGTCGACTCCCTGAATTGGAGCAGAAACAAATAACATCGTTTTCGAAGATTTCACTTTGAGCGTCACGACAAACATTATATTTGTGATATCAGACAATAAAACTCAAGGTTATGCTGATGTTTTCAAAGTGAAGACATGAAGCAGTCGACTGGTTTTTCTTCCATTTAAATTGTTGTGTGGGTGTGAGAGCTTTTTTTTCTTTTAATTTTAATTTTTTTATGTGCTCTGTGATTGGCGAGTCGCCAGTCCAGGGTGTACCACGCCTCTAGCCCAAAGTCAGTTGGGGTGGGCTCCAGCTCTCCCTTGACGCTAACAAGGACAAAAAGTAGAGAAAATGGATGGAGGGGGAATCAGAAGATTCTGAACTCCTTCAACGAGAACGCTGCATTGAGCAGAATAATTCTGGCAAGTGGAACAAGCACAGCATCGATCCGAAAACGGAGCTCAACTTAACAGAGCAGACGAAACACTGTGCGGAGCCTGAAAATGAGTGAGATGAGACGGAATCAACCGCAATTGCTCGCAGCCAATGAATCCACTTCATTTTACTTTGATTGCTTCAACACCTGCGTTGCCGCAGTTCCCATGACAAACTAACTTACTTACTTTGCCTGATTTCTCGATTTTAAACGCAACTTGGCTATTTGAGGTATTACTTGACTCAAGTTACTTTTTCAGGTGCATTCAGCAGCTGTCGACAACACATCATCAACATGAACAATTGTTGTTCAACAATTCCGAAGAGCAACAATTAATTACGTGCACATAACGGCACTTTGAACCATAAGTGCATACGTGTGAAATCTGCAGTCGAACCGATCAGGGTTGTCGAGAAAGTCTTTATTGTATGCCACGTGGGAGAGTGGGTGTTTATTTTTTTATTTTTTTTTTGTCTTGCGGGCCTTGCCACGCTCACCAATTTGCTAGCTGAAAACAGTTTTTCACCTGCGCTCCATAGCTTCCCTGATTAGCTGGAATTTGCAGCGGGCCATTCTTGTTAGCCCGAGGTGGAATCGAAACACTGGCCGGTAGGGAGGGAGAAAAACAGTCTGAAAAAATACACCGTATAACAAATATATGCGGCCATTTGGATTTGAAGAATGGCTTGACTCACCGAAGCGTATTAAAAAAAGGGGGGGGGGGGCAGGGAGGTTGAAACTTCCTGCCATTGAAAACCAACTGCTGTGATTTGTTATGCTTAAAGCACAGCTTGCCGTGTGAATTATCTTGTACTCTGTATCTGTTTTGAGAGGCAAACGATTCGGGTCATCCCATTGAGTAACGACAATTTTCCACCCATTTACCAAGTCCCATCGGCTCTGTAAATGCCCCATTTGTAAACCAATCTATTGCTTTAAGATGCTTTATGATGCTCAGCAACTTGCAGGCCTTTTGTTACAAAGCATTGCAGCGTCTCCACAGATTTTCTGAGCCTAGAATGCTTTTTTTTTTTTTTTTTTTTTTAATTCAAACATCTTTGCACACTGTACTGTATGTCCTTGTGACTAGCTTTAATTGAGTGCTTTATAAGATTCCCACAGCAACTCGCTTCAGAAGGGGGATTTGGGCTCTGGGACTGCTGCATTATTAATTTGACTGCTATAAGGTCTGCAAACATCTTCATTTTGCATAAAAACCCAATATATATATATATATATATCACAAGAACAGTTTCGTGGCCGCTTCTCACAATGTGCAACACATAACTTGATTTTGTTTTCTGTTGATTCTGGATCAGGGACGCACATGCATGTTCTCCCCAGCCCCCCCCCCCCATTCCACAGGCACGTTTTAATAACTTTGCCTTCATCAAGGCTGTAGAGACAAATGACTCCAAATAATAGAATGAATTTTCTTCCTTGTCTGAGAACTGCACAGATGCATTTCCTTGCTGAAGGCAAACTATTTTGCCCCCCAGAAACTTTCTGTCAAGCTTATTTAGCTCCATAATTCACAGAGGCATACATTTAGATTTTTTTTTTCAGTTTTATTTTAATTTTGAGGGTATGGAAATGTGCAGCCACGTGACGGCATGCTCCATAAAACATGTAAATCAGTATATCAAATTTGGAGAAACCCACAAATGAAAGCTCGAGGTAAAGTAAGTAACAAGCATCAGTGACCTGAGGATGTGAACAAAGCGGCTCTTAAAGATGAGTACGCAGGACTGGAAAGGCGCAGGACTGGAGACTTCAAAGTAGAAGGGTACCCAAGTGCGGTCCTTGAGAGCTCCCATCTAGCCGGTTTTAGATCTCTCCCTCCTCCTACACTCCCCATTCAGTTGGAGGAGGGAGGCATCTAAAATCGTCTATGGGGGGGGGCTCAAAGGACCGCACTTGGGCATCCCTGCTCTTGGTGAATTGGTGCGTGCAGAGGAGAGGACTGGTGTGTGGCATCGAAAGAAATAACTTCATATTTGTGATGAATGGGTAGCTTGGGCTGTGGCAGCATTGTAAGAATCCTGGAGGCTCGGCAGATGCACCACTGCAGTCAATGTGAGAGTGGGAATAGCACTGCATACGAGGAGTAAGTACATAATAAGACTTGGATTGATGAAGCCGACGCTCTGAAGATGTGAAGAACTGCAACTGGGACTCAGGGGACTGGAACACGGAAACACAGAGCAGTAGTCGTACATCGACTCACCTCCAACTACAGAAAAGTGGATGATTTCCCCGCAATATGGAAATACCCGACCTAAATATCTGACTGTATGTTACTCACAGATTAGTCATTTAAGGACATCGAGGTCACAGGCTCATGAACAAATGCTTGCAGAGGTTTTTTTTTTTTGTTCCTCCGTAGGACACGCGCAATGGATTCCTATGGATGACACCCCAGAGATTCGTAGTACTCCACCTCGCGCTGAAGGATGTATGGCAGTTTTGACAACAGAGAACTTAGACTCACACGTCAGAGTCTTCAATCAAACTTAGACGTCTTGGAATGTGGCGGAAAAAAAATGGAGAGGAACGTGGGAACTCCTCACCAGCACCACTGAGCTCAGACAAATTTGAACCCAAAACCTTTTGGCTGTCAATCTATTGAAATATTTGGTTTGACAAATAATTATCTGCAGTGGTGAATGCACACCAAATTGCAATCAGATGAGCCCCCGCCATTTTTTTTTTCAAGACCGCAGATCTTACCACTCACCACAGTTTCTCGGTGTTTTTATACTGCTGCGACAGGAGAATATTTATTTTCTCTCCTCACCGTCAAGCAAAGCACTTCATTTTCTGTATCACTTAAAATCCATATTATCCGGCTTTCACTTGGTGCGATGATTCACTTGGAATTTTGTTTGATCAACAACCGTATTTGTAGTGTCACTGCACCACAAAATATCTTTTTTTTTAATTTGATTAAATTTGTATTTAAAAGTAAAATATTCTTCATTCAGCATAGTGCTTTTTTTCCCCCACAATTCGAGAAGGAAAAAAAACCACACAAATAAAAAAAAAAAAAAACAACGATGACGAATCACAAAGAGCAGATTTCTTGCCATGGTGAAATGAGGTCATTTTCGGGTCGGTTCAGTTTCAAGCAGTGCGCCAGCCCTCATCCTGCCCCACATACTGCTGGGCCAATGACAAGTCTGGCATTTAAACGCCATTGTGGCGTTACCTGCTCCAGCTGTTTCTCTCCTCTGGCCCGTTTGTTCTCTAGTTTTAATACATTGCACACTCCCACATGGCTGGTGGCTGGCCGACCATTTTGCCAAAAATGGGTGTATCTGCACATGATCTTAAGATAACGCTGTTATCTTCTCTCTTCTAACACCGTTAGCTGAGGCTAAACTGTGCTTGCGCTTTTTGCCCTGAACATAATAGTACCATGTCGTCCAGCAGCTCTCCTGGCGGGGGGGGTGAACTCAGTGTTGGGGAGTATCATGTAAATGAGCTGGATAATTGTGATGTCATAATTCAGAACGGCTTACTTGCAGACCCATTTTTGGAAAAAAGACTTGACAATTTGTAATCAATCAATTAAAAATGTTTATTTTCCAAATGATGTGACCTTTCTTCTGCCTGTATACTGTACATATATATTTGAGATTTGGAATATCTCACTGCCATCAGAACTCAGGATTGATCTGTGGATGGCATCGCAGTGCCGGTTTCGCAATGGAAAGAGACATACTGTGCATGGAGCAACCTTTTGTCTGTTTACAGCTCAGTTTAACATCAGTTTTCCTAAGGGTTAGGATTTTGAGTGCAGACAAAAATCAATTGCCGCTTGCTGTTGGAGAGGTGCTCGTCTATATCTTGACTACTGTTGACCAAGCCGCTGAATCTCACCCAAGCGCAGCTCAAGGTTGAAATGCAGTTTTTTTGCCCCGCATCACTCTGACATCTCTCCTCGCACGTCTGTGTGGGGTCGACTTCTCTGTGTGGCAGGCAAAAAAAAACAGACACGGTAGAGCATAAATTGAATTGCCCCATTCAAATTAGTATGATATCAAGATATACATACTGTATCTACACATTAAAAAAATGAAATGAGCACGGCCTCAGCTAAGACCGACTTGTGGTGCTTCAGTTGCACTCCTAGTTCTAATGCGTCTACACTACCTGGTCAGTGACCTGCCCAAATCGTCTCCTGTTTTTGGGGAAGTTGAGTCTGGGCATTGGTATCTGTTTTTACATGTTGAGACTCAAAAATAATCAATGAAACTGACCATTCACATGATGATCTTTGAATACAATATCACATGGAAATATCAACACATTAAAAAAAAAAAAAAAAATTTGCATGACCCACTTTCATCGTAATATATCTGTGTACACATTCGTAGTGAGTAGGATCATTTGGTCAATGTCAAAAATAGCAAGAAAGTCAATACAGAGGTCCAAAATGGTTTTGTTTTTGTGATAAACTGCTTTTGGGTTGAGTGATATAGGCTGATTTTTAAAGGAAAAAAAAAAAACGTTCATTTATTTTGGATCGGTATATGTCTGCTACATGGACTGTTTTCAAATAGTCGCCTCTGCTCAATTATTTGTTGTGTCCCAATTGATTATGGTCTCACTTCAATTACAAGTTTCTTGTTTTTGTTTTTTTTACATCCATCCATCCATGCACTCATTATCCGGGTTGTGGGGTCATGGGAGCTGCTATTTGAGATTTTCGACTCTCCCTGGGCCCCTTCAACCAGCTTTTGTGACAGCAATGTCATTCCCAGGCCAGTCGAGCGAAATAGTCTCAGCAGCATGCTCTATCATCTCCGTGGAGCTCTTTCCTGTGAGACCTGCCCGGAACACCTCACCCGGAAGGCATCCGAATAAGATGCCCGAGCCACCTCATCTGGCTCCTCTGAACACGGGAGGAGCAGTGGCTCTACTCTAAGCCCCTCTGCGCTTCTCACCTTATCTCTAAGAGAGAGCCCAGGCGTCATGCAGCGGAAACTCATTTCGGCCGCTCGTATCTGTGATCTCGTTCATTCGGTCGCGACCCGCAGCTCGTGACCATTGGGTGAAGGCGAGAACGTAGATCAACCGGTAAATCGAGAGCCGGAGTGGACAGTAGTAGAACACAAGATAATGAGACGGAGCAGCAGTGCAGGTAATTGGACATGAATAAATACAAAGGTGATTGTTATATTCAATGCTGTTGTGAATGTGGAGCAAAGGCATGAATTCTAATTCCGTTTAATTAATTGTACATGGGCAAAATAGAGCAGAGATGTCTTTACAATTCAAATTTGAGGGAGGGAATTAATATTTTGAACGAAAGGATACAGACGAGTACGAACAAACACCTTACAGCGCAAGCCTCTTTGCAGTATGAGTATCCCATGTACCACCAATACCATCAGTACATTTCGTCTTTAAGAAGGTTTAGTAAAGTAAAATAGGTTGCTTCAAAATTCTAGAAAAGGGCCGAATTTGTTTCTCGTTTGCGTGCGATTTCCATTTGCCGTGGAACGTTGGAGCAGCAACTATTTGGAGTGAAATGGTTCAGAAATATTAAATAAAAGCACTTTCACACAGGCTTTGTGGAGCACCAACTGCGTACTTTATGTTGCCTGGAATAAAAAAACGGCCATCAAAGCAGCACTCGGCAAGATGCATGGACGAGTCAAATGAATCTTCTGCCTTTCACGCTCGTTCTCGAAATAGACGATTCAGAGCGGTTGAGGGTGAAAGTACCTTCTGCGGATTTTTAAGGAATGAGGAACGTGACCATTTTCTGTCGTCCAACATTAAATTTCCAATTTCATTTTGTTTGAATGTTGCCTACGTAAACATACAAGCATTCTGATGGGTTTTATTTGTTATTCCCATCTCGCCATGAAGGTTTCACTCAATGTTTTGTACTGACCGCATGTCCCAAATTAACGTCAGGTGGAAATGTTAAAAGGTTTTGTTCACTTACTGAAGAGTCATTATTATTCTTGGCCTAGAGCTCGCTGCTTTTATCAGACACACTTTAATATGCGTAAAAAAAAAAAAAAAATAGAAGAAAATGCTCTCTAGGAGTAAGTCCCAGCCCAGCACTATTGATGTAGCAAAGACTGACTCTGACAAGCCTCTTAATGATGCATGAAGATAAAAGGCATCTTTTCGAGAGGTGCATGGAGGTCTGAGCTGCAAGGTGCACAATACATAATTAATGTTTAATGGCACATTCAAATAATTTCTGGTCCTTTTACAATGTGCTTGACAGTGGTTAGTTTTGATCTCACACTCTGTGTTGGTGTTTTCTCCGGTCAATCGTATCACGGGGGGGGGGATCATCCATCATGAATTCGTGACGGATGTCACTTTCCAATTTATAGTTTAATCAATGCAATATGTTGTATATTGCCGTCTTGCTCATGACATCCGTCTATTTTGTGTACAGGTTGATACGGCAGAAACGTGCAAATAGGACTCCATATATATTTGTGGCTGCACGTGAGACCACCTTGACCCTTTAAAATTGAAGATGATGTTACTATGGAAACTCCTGGTCCTGCAGTCACTCATGGGGAGCCTGGCAGGTAAGGTATCTCATTGACAACTTTTGATGCACACCGACGCTGCCTTTGTGAATTGCAAGTCATGCTTTTGTGTATTTGGGTCAGCTGATAAGACTGAAGATGTAATTTCCATTTTTTGGGGCACCGATTTTGTGTAAGACACTCAGGGTGTATGCGGTCAAGATCGGAAACTTTCAAAATTGGCAACACAGCATGAATGCCATCCAAAATGGAATAACAGGAACAGTGACAGAAGTGCAATCAATCCACCCATTGTCTTGACCGCTTATCCTTATTTGGGTTGCGCGCGGGTTGAGCCTATCCCAGCTGACTTGGCACCAGAGGGAGGGGCAATACACAGACTGGTCACCAGCCATTTTGCAACTTGTGTGGACTGAAAATGATCTCACAGTTGCTCAAGGCTCAGGTAACGATCAATCATGACTCAGGTTCAGAAAGCAGGTGAGTCACCATTGGTTAGTGTGAGGTCATTTTCAGTCCACAACAAGTGGCAAAATGGCCGCCCCTTGAGCTGGCTAGAAATGGGTGGATTTTCTTGCTGAACTCATATTCCCCAAATGCAAAATGAATCAGAATGCAGTGTTTCGACGAGTGAAGCCGCACAAACACTATTTTAAAGAACATTTGGGGGTTAACTTCCCCTCATGCTAAAGAGCATTACTCAACATTACTCAGCACACCCATAGCTGGAATCTCGTGAGCCCATTTTACAAAACCAACTGCAACTCAGCCACAAACTTGCCCTGGGAATCTTGATGGAAAGCAAACACCAAGTCATTTTCACGGGATATTTGTCAGTAGAGTTTACCTAAAATATTCAGGCACTGATGAGAATCGAGGACTGTCTATGATATGTGGTAGAGAACAAAAGCGATGAAGATTGCTCCTGGACTCAATTTCGGTATCCTCCCCGACATTTAATTAGACCGAGATTTCATGGAAATGGCTCTGTGAGCAGCGTAGCAGATTTAAACACTGGCTGGGAGAGCACTAATGATGAGAAAGACATAGTGGATAGCCGGCCGAGGCAGTTGTGCGGCCGTTTAGCCGTGTGTCACTCCAACACTGGACACGCTGAGCGAGTCACAGTCTGCCTTTAGCAGGGGAAAAGTGGACACCAATGCGAGCCTACCGTCATCACAAATAAGAAAAGAAGACAAACTGCTGAGGTCATGGCAGAGGTTTCATGTAAATACAATCAAGGAGGAAACATTGTCACAAATGATACATTTAAAAAGTTCATTGAGGTCATGATAATCTTGTCATTGTGGATATACAGGACATGTGTGTAGCCTCACACAACAGCAACGCTACTGAATTTTGCTCGAAGTGCAATCAAAAACGATGCGCTCATGATGTGTGTCTGCATCACTACCCACGAAGGGCGTTTCTTAGGTCGACGTTCATGTCAGATGGCCTGATATGTCAAGGTCTCTTCTCATGGCGCTGCCCTGAGCTCTCCAGGCCAGTTCACACTGACAGGATGTCATTCCACTGGGTGAGCAGCCTGGAGTGAGCCTGCAAGTGTCAGGTCACCTGACAGTCACCAGTCGGACAGACCCCTTGGCCACAATGCCGCAAGGCTTTGAAGTAGCAACACCTCCAAACCGGGCCCATCTGTCCCACTAAGTACTGAGTGTAAATACGCAGTAAAGGTCGGGATGGAAATCTATAAGCTATTCTTTTCCACTGCAAGAGGCCATTTCTCCTTCCTGAAATCCACCATCACCTCCTTGGTCTTCTTCACAAAGGTTGTCATCTTTGCACCAGATGTTCTCCCTCCCTTTCTCCTCAGACTCATTGTTGTTGGTGATATGTGTGATGTGTCGGTCATCACGATATGACACCTCCAGAATTTCGCACAGCAGTCACAGGTCAATAGTGTGAACAGCAGGGGGCTCGGCACATAGCCTTGAAGAAGCCAGTGCAGGTGGTAATGGAGGATGAGACTGTGTTGTGGATCCGGATAGTCTGTGGTCTGTTGTTCAGAAAGTCAAGGGCCCGGTTCCCCAGTAAAGGAATTTCAGACCAGGTTCTGTGTGGTGATGGTGTTGAAGGCAGAGAAGAAATCGAGGAAGAGTAGGTGGACATACTGGAGGAGTTCCTGCTTTCCAGGTGGGTGAAGGCAGTATATCTCACTAATGAGATGGAATCATTCTTCCCGTAGGCCTACTGGTGAGGGTCCGCAGTGATGTCGATTGAGTTTTTGATCTATGCTGTGGAGGTCTTGGGTACGGGGATGATGAAGGCAGCCTGTAGGCAGGTTGGGACAGATGCTAGTTGGAGCGTGATTAAAAAGTCTGTTAACATCTCAGTCAACTCGTGGCCACAGTCCCTCAGTGAGCGCCTCAGGATAATGTCAGGGCGTGCGATTTTTCAGGGGTTAATCCACTGCAGGGTTCTCCTCATGTCTGCTGGGAATAAGCTGAGTGGCGTGTCATCGGGTGGTCGTGTTAGTCTGACGTAGGGTGTCTTGCGAAGCGAGCAAGGACCTGGTTGATCTTGATAGCGATCACTATCAAGTTACACCATTCGATACATTTTGCCCATGTTGCTCACCACTATGCAGAAACATTTTTTGCATTTATCATATCATGTAATGGTCAATACAACGATGATGACATCAATGGTGTCATAATTTCATCAAACGGTTTTATGACAGTGTTTTATTCCTATGATGGTGATGGAAGTCGAACCTACATTGAGACTGTAGTAAAGCCCTAAGGTCAATGAACATTTGCAAAAAAGCACTTTTAGGCCATTCAAAAAAAAACAAAAACGATCAAATAAAAACAAAACGTGAGTCCGGCCGTAACTGAGTATTCTTGCATCGTTGTGCAAACAGGTTCATTTGTTTCACGGTAACGTGGCACGTCGCTGCTACTGCAAACTAAGAATTGCCCTTGCTGTCAAATATCAATTGAGCATTTTTTGCTACTCATGAAATACCAGCATAAAACATATCATTCATTCCACTCTTCAGCATCTGAACACTTTTCTCCACATCTTATTTTAATACTTTCACTTCGAGTTGAAATCTGCTTGGTGGCAGCATAAGTAAGAGCTCGGGTTTAGTTGCTCAAATTGAAGAGCATGTCTGGACATCTTAAGGTGCACTCACCTGTTCTTCCTCAGGAGAAGCAATTATGTCAGGGAGAGTGGGGGCTAAGAGACATCCCCAGATGGGCTTCTAGTCGAGCCCCAGCTAATTGGCAGTGTTACGGATTCGAAGCAGGTTCAGGAGAAAGACCTCGCCGCTTGCTTTTCCAACGGCCCCACATCTTTGTCTTTGTTTTGCTTTGTCAACACCTCCCTTTCATATGCATATGGGAAAAAACATGTTTTATTCATCGCTTCTCGAAATCAAATCAGTCGAAAATACCTTGTTGTTGTGCACGAGCAGCACACGCAGTCATGTACATGCGCGTATGTCGTCTGAAATTTCAAGCTCCTTTTGTGACGCTGCCCCTCTCCGTCCCACTCCCTTTGCCACATCCAAGAAATCAATCATTAATTTGAATAACAGGCTATGTGTGCACATGAACCAGGATTGTACGTACAAAACACATTTATGAAACTGTTTGAATTCATATATCTAGACAGTCAAGGAGAGGACGGGTGGAATCTTAAACTAAATTTTTCTTTTTTTAAATCAGAGCAGTGGCTCCATATTCAGTATTACGTTCAAGTTTAAATTCACTGTAAAATGGCGTCATTCCATTTTAGTAATGGGGATGATAAATCTGTCCATCCAGCTTTCCATATATCCCTTGTCCCTCATATGCTTTGTAGGTGAACTGGAGTCCAAGTTTTGATCAGTGGTACGGTACATTGTGAACTGGTTGCCAGTCAATCACAAGGCAATCATGGCGCTGCGACATTCATCTTGTCTTTTTATTTATTGAATTTGGTTTAAGGTTTCTTTTTTTTCCCAGAAAATTGTCTTTTTTTTTTTTTTTTTTTTAGTGAAGAGAAAATCTTTGACCTAGTTGACAGTTTCGGCTGTCACTTCACCCTTCATCGGAGCAGTCAATGCGTCCTTGTGACGTATCTTAACAACAGCTGACCGGCTCGTGAAACCTTCAAAATAAGGCTGTTGACTAAAAATGATCTCACAGTTGCTCAGGGCTCAGGTAACAAACAATCGCAGCACAAGTGGCAAAATGGCCGCCCCCTGAGATGGAAAAAAAAAACTGGTGGATTTTACTGCTTAACTCATATTCATATTAATTAGAATGCCATATTTAGACGAGTAGGGCTGCATTGAACTTATTGTACAGAAAATGTTGGCGGATGATTTTCTCTTCCAAAGAGAGATACTATTCCATTATTACCTGGCTTCACACCTGTGCTAAAGTCTCACCTTGTCGCCAGGTGTGTTGCATCAGTGGTGTTGCATCAGATGTGCTCAGACTCGTATACGTGTTTGTCGCATGTCTGGGGAGTTTGTTGGAGAGACAAAATAACAAGGTGATGTTCAAAAGTATTGTAATTAGAGGATGATGAAGCAATCAACTACCGTTTATTTCTGTCCTAACTTGACTCCTCACATATATTGCATGAGTGAACCCTTAACACTGGTTCCATGATGGCTCTGCAATCTGTACAGGAAGGCTTGTCAATAATGGACACTTCATATACAGCATGCACAATAATGTTAGCAGAAGAAAACTGGTAGTGGGTGAGTCATTACTTTTCCAAACAGACAGATGGCTGAAGGTCCTGAATCACTTTTTTTTTCCCTTTAATAATATTTGATCTTGTTTTACTGCTAATAGATCATTTGTGTTGGAAACACCAAAGGACGCCCTTTTTAAAGGCAGTCCCTTTGGTCAAAATTGCCATCCACATGAGACAGTTGGATTTCTCATGAATATGCAAATTAGCTTTGCTGCAATTGGATTACTGTTCTGCTCAATATGAATACATGGAGCAGTTCGGGACAAATGTAATTCAAGATTAGCTCTTAAACTTACGACTAAATTTACACGAGTGGGTTTCTTGTTCTTATACACTAAAACAGCTGTCACACGCACTGCTCTCATACACCCTACTGGAAGCATTCTCATTCACTACTGTAACACCCTCATAAACACGAGTGAAAACACTTTCAAAGACACGAGTGAAACGTTCTCAAACACACGACTACGAGCTTGTATCTAAATTTGACGCGCTCTCTCTCATGACGACACGCTGGCTACATTTTGACGTCTCTCTGCCATTTCCCTCCGGACAGTCATCGAGCATGATGTAATATTCATGTTGTATAATAGCAAAACATTGTAACTTGCCATTCATCAGAAGAAAGCATGCATCAAATGAACCCTTGAATACACTTCTATGCAAGTATTGGGCCCAAAAATCAGCCTGGGAATATTCTCGACAAGGGTGGGAGGTGTGATGTGTGTACAGCAGCCGTCACGCGGCAAAATGTATTCGTCGATGAGGGGTGGGGGGGCGGGGCTTTGCGGACAGCATCCGTTTTTGTCAATGGGAGGAGGGTTGGAAGGTTCGACCTGGGTACCCGTCAGTCGTCATCAGTCCGAAATTTTTTTCGTCAGTCCGTCACGTTATTTTCGTCGGTAAATTTCACTGGTCCGCCAGTGCGTCATACAGTCTGTCAGTCTGCCTACCCCCACAAAAAAATGCCTGCCCAAACACAAACATAAGTGACATCCATTTCACAGATACTGGTGGCTGCCTGTAGCTAACTCTTTTAACTCCTGAAACGCCCAAAAGCTTTAATTTAATTACATTTAAAATGGCCAGAATCCAGCTCTGCGTTGTGGTCATGGGGAAAATCCAATCCAAGTAGCTTGCACACCTACTTCTGTCTTTAAATGCTTGTCTTCTGCTTCTGCTTCTTTTTTTTCTCGGCAGATTACAGCTCTTTGCTGCACAGCACCCCCTGCTGTACAGAAAGAGCAAAACGTTTCCCTATTTAGTCAATGGAAGCAAATCTGCTCGTATTCAATTCAGCCCCGCGAAGAAGCACACGAGACAGTCTTGAATTTCAATAATTTCACCAAAATGTAACAGAAAACGGCAACCATAAAGATTTATATGCAAATACATGCACATACATAAAATATTAGACTCAACCAAAGGTCATAGAATTGTGTTTTCATCGCAAAGTGCACTACCGGACAGCAACAAATAGCTGTGGATGATACCTGTCCCTGAGAATGGCAATAAATTCAATTCAGATTCATACTCTGAGGATGTTTTAAATCAGAATGAGCCTCAAATGTTAAATGAAGCCCCCGCCAGCGCATATGCACGGTGCCGTGCATCAACATGAATAAAGAAATTGGACGGAATGAATTAAAATTAAATGAAATGCAAGAAAGTCCCAAAGCTATTGAAGCGAAGGATGTATAGCTCAAAGCTTTCTTTTTATTCCCTTGCACAGTGTTCACCATGTTTGAGAGAAAAAAAAAAAAAACAAGATAAGTAGCAATATATTCCCTATGGTGTTAACCTGTTGAGTTGAGCTCACTTTGTTCCTCCTCAGAGGAACCTGCAAATGAGCAATGTTTTTACAGTGAGGGAAAAAAAGGATCAGCCCGTCGCAAGTGCGCGTGGTCCATTGGGAAGCCTGGTTGAGGTACCTGAGTGGGTGCGGGGTGGAGGGCTGCCCTACTCTGACCTACTTTCTACCATGACAATCAAGTCGGCTCGTACATATCTCTCTCTCTCTCTCTCTCTCTCTCTCTCTCTCTCTCTCTCTCTCTCGCTCTCTCTCTCTCTCTCTCTCTATATATATATATAACTCAATAACAACTCACCCTAGTTATATGAAGCATTAATTTTAAATGCAGTGCTGATCATTGTACTTATTTCCGAAAGTTGTAGCACCTGTAGATACATCTTAGAACAAATCAGACTTGAGAGACTTTCCATCTCATTTGTTGTAGCAATCACAGAGGTTAACATGCCACGACACGCTATAAAAAAATGTCACTTCACTTGGTCAGGAGAAGGAGAAATGCCGTATATTTGACAGTTTCTTTCAGGGATCATATGAACATAAGATTGGGTTTTGTCGGTGGCAAGGGTTTGCTTTCTGGAGATTCCATTGGCAATAAAAGAACATGGTCTTGAAAGTCGAAAGAAAGAAACATCAGAAACCTGTTTGTAACCATTTGTGTTTATAATACGATGCCTTTTTGTCTCTCAGTGCGCACCGTCCTCCAGAGTCCGGTCTTCACCAAACAGCCTGGTAGCATCGTGTACCCTGTGGAATCGATGGAGAAGAGCAGAGAGGTGGTTTTCAGCTGTGAAGCTCAGGCAAGCCCACCTCCAGTGTATCGGTGAGTGGCAGTGAAGTACTAAGCACTGTGGATGCTCGGGCCGATCGCATGGTTATGATGCCCCCTGGAAAAAAAACCCAAAAAACAAAAACGTAGTTCCAGGGATGGAATGACCATCTCTGATAACTTGGTCATTGACAAATGAATAATATCACTTATATATGTTTCTTGGCCAATAACTTAGCATGGGTATATGTCTTTGCACTCTCAGCAGGCTACTTAATGGCATCGAGTGGATATAGTTGTTTGGTCCAAGTACCAATTTTTCTCTTACCACAGCCAGTTCAGATGATATTTGTACATGTCAACTATTTCTGGTCCAGCTTGACGTCCGAGCCCGTCAAAGCGGTTGTCACAGCGAAAACATGAACAGCCAGCATGAGCGAAACAATTCATGGCACTAAACGATAAAATTAAAAGTGAAGTCAAAAAACGGTTCATGACAAAATAAGCGCAAATGACAAAAGTTGATTTGATCTGTTTTATGACTAGCTTTGAAAGATTCAAATGATGTAGTAAATCGAGAACGTTGGACGGAGGGTGGGGGGGGGCAAAAAAATATTCGTCATTTTTCTTTCTTTGATTGATACAAATGAAGGCATGAGGCTCAACAAAATGAACAGCCTGCCCATCATTTAAAGCCTCATAAGCCAGATGGTGTTGTATTTATGCCACTGTGTGCACGGTCTGTTGCATGATGACATAAAGCATGTGCCTTAAAGTGGAGCTGCTGTTGTTGCCTGCTTGCCTGCATTAATCACTGTAAATAGTTATTAAATAACGCACTTAACACCGGTTGACATATTCATAATATGTTGCAAGGCAGTTCCAGGACCCGTGTAAATTATTTCTTTCCTTCACTGCTTTGAAGTGGAATCTTTGATGTCATTGACAAAAACTAGTGTGTCAGATGTAACGTATGTGGATGAATACATTGAAAAGAGCGTGCAGACAAAAATGATCAGCCTTACGTTTGTTGGTTTGTGCAGACAATGCCCCATGATTGACAGGGGCCCGACAAAAGAGTGTTTTCAATTTGTGACATTGAAAGGCCTGAAGTGATATTTTCATCACCAAATTCCTGTCGGTGCGCCCTTGTAAGGACACACAGCGGCGGGGATCTTCATGCAATATTCCACGCTTCACAGTGAAAATAAATCGAGAATAATTCCATCAATCCAAAATGTGTCCATTTTTCATTCTGATCGATATCCAATACTCATTTTTGTTTTGTTTTTTTTTTCCCTTGGCCGTCATTACTGAGCCATGGGACGCATGTTGCAAATTATGGTCCATCATATACGCTGATAATCCTTACTAATATGAAATTTGGAAAGGCTTGTTGTGGTTCAGACAAACAGCATTTGATGAATACATGTGATGAAGTTAATGTCATTTTTTTTTTTGCATTTTCTTTTTTTAGATGGAAACTTAATGGCACAGAACTCAACCCCAAATCTGGATCTCACTTCAGTTTATCTGGAGGCAACCTCAGAATCAGCCATCTGAACAAAGACCAAGATGCCGGAACCTATCAGTGCCTCGCCTCCAACGCTTTCGGGACCATCGTCAGTCGAGAGGCCAGTCTAAAATTTGCATGTGAGTCTCAAACGCTGGTTTCTGAGCACCCAATCGACAAGAAATACAGCCAACCGTACCGTCCTCAAAGTGGGTTCGCATCAACATTGAAATCGTTTGACGCATTCCTTCTTCTTGTGTTTCCTGGATTGAACCCAACGATGAGCACCACATGGCCATCCAAAAACCAGTCGAAATAAATCCGTCTACTCAACTAGAGCGGGGCAGTGACAAACATAAAGATGTGTGTGGGTGTGTGTGTAAAATGAGATGTTGGACATTTGGGACCTTTTGCTTCATGAACGTATTCTATGCAATCGTGACAAATATGGTGTGTTGAATTTAATCAATGTTAATGTGTTGCCTGCCTCCACAAAATAAAATCAACTAGATCCAGATACTTTTTTTTTAAGTAGATGTACTAGAAAATATATTCAGTATATCAAAAGTATGGTGGTGAGATTCAGAAGGCTACAAGTACATTTTATTCTAAGTTATCGACGGATTTTGGAGCAATACCGTATGATAACAGTTGGGTACAATTCCTTGGTATTGGCATCATTTGATAAGAGTTAACCCAGGGGGGCCCAAGTCTGCTCCTGGAGAGCCTCCATCCAGCCTGTTTTATATTTCTCCCTCCTCCAACACACCTAATTCAATTGATCGTGATCCGATCCGGCTTCTGCAAAGTTTGCTGATGAGCTGATCATTTGAATCAGGCGAGTTGGAGGAGCGAGACGTCTCAAACACGCTGGATGGGGAATCTCCAGCACCGGACTTGGACCTTAATTTTGCAGCAGAGCTTTTGTGACACCTTTAACCTTGTTTATCACATTTAGTGACAGCAAAAATAAATAAATAAATAAATATTATTATTATTATTTTAAAAAGGCTTCTTAAAAATAATGGGCCAGTTGGAAATGTCCATTTACTGACCCATCTGCCAATCCGAGAATCTACTTTCCACTGCATGAATCTGCAACTTTCCATTTGTATGAGTTAGTGGCGTAGCACTTTACATAATCAGCCACTGCGATCAATTGACATACTAATCAAGGGCAGCAAGTATCGAGCGGGGAGCGCCCATCAGTTATCCGAGCCTCAGGAGGTAGACGGCCACAACCCTTGTGAGTAGCATCATCCATCAAAAGTTGGTGGCACGGAGAAGAAGAGGGCAAAGTATTTGGAAGCTGGCCAATTTCAAAGAATCACCTTGGAGCCTGCGCGCTGCACGTGGAATATCATTGTCTGTTGCTGAAGAAAAAAATAACGTTTTACACACACGCCGCATTTGACTCTTTCACACAATTGACGGCAGAGCAATTTCACACAGTCCGGTCATGATGGTCGCTTCCCTGACCGGGTTGAAGTTTTGTTTGGTCCGTCAGTATTCCTTTTGAAATAAAGCGGCGTTCCCAAAACATTCGCGGCTTGAATGAAACCTCTCCTGGTACGGTGCTGTGAAAATAGCTTTTGACTTCACACCATGAAGGCCTTTTGCAACAATTAGTCACCAGCAACAAGATTAAGACTGCTCTGATGTCTAATTAAAGGGGGATGCCTCACAGCCTGACCCAAAGGACTATTTTAGAAGGCAGAGCATGCGCTTCCAAAAGCACTTTGCTCTCCTGAATACGCAAGTTATGCTCAAAGTAACTCATCTGCATCGCATGAGGAATCGCATAGTACGCTCCGAAACCACACCGTTAAAAAAACAAAATGAACACGTTTTGTTTTTTTCCTTCTTCACAAACCCGCCGAGAGAGAAAATGGACTTTGTTCATGTCGCTATTTTGGATAGATGTTGTATTTTGAGGGCAAGACACACCCCTCAAGATTCAAGATGAAATCCTCTTGAACTTGTCTCATCAGACAAATGACAATCAAAGAATGATGCAACGTCATTGTACCACAGTGGTTCTTAGAATAATCATCATCGAGAACTGGATGACGACCGCTTATCCTGAACAGGGTCGCACGGCGCCGCTGGAGCCTATCCCAGCTGACGGTGGACGGAAGGTCGATGACACCCTCAGTCCATCCGAACGGATTTTTCCGCATGAGGGTCACGCGCCAAAGTTAGAGAAAGTTTTCAAAATCTTCTTCAGGGAGTGAATCATCGAAACACTTGATTGTAATCTATGTCGTCGACCGTTTTGAACACTCACTTGTGTCCTGGTCCACGTTATCTTTTTTTCTTTTTTTCAATGGAAGCTAATTGTGAATGATTCTTATTCTGGATAAATGCTCAAAGGCTTTCTGTAGTTTAACAACTGTGCAATTGGTCATCCGTTTATAAGTGCCTATTTTCTCTTTTTGTATTCATATTTGCTCTTTATACAAGCAAAAATAATCACGTTTAGTTCAGCGGAATACCTGATTATTCCATGCAGTATTCAAGAGCTTATTCTCGGTCTAAAATATTCGATCGCTGCAGCCCTACGTTTAACGCCCCTGTTACGTTGTCATATTTTTTAATCAAATCCGTGCTTCGAGCCCCTGGGAGTAACCGGCAAAGAAAGAATAGGTCCTCCAAATTAAAAACGTGCTCCTGAAATGAAGTTCTTGAAATATTTCGAGCCTTGTATCATCTCCAGGGAGGAGTGCTTTTGCGTTTTTTTTTTCCCTCTCTTTACTATAAAGGATGACATGACACGGTCGTGTATTAGCGGCTGCCCTTTAAATTATCCGCCTGAATGTTCTGCTTTCAGTCATGCGCTGCAGTTAATTAAAGTAAACCAAGGAAAATAATGAAGACACATGACACTGGCCCATACGTGTCCGCCGTGCCTCTGACTACGAAGCTGAAGGCTGCTAAGGTCAGAGCCCGACAATTGATGCAACTGTCATGCGCT